GAGAGAGAGAGAGAGAGAGAGAGAGAGAGAGAGAGAGAGAGAGAGAGAGAGAGAGAGAGAGAGAGAGAGAGAGAAACGGACAGCAGACGCCATAAGACGCCATCACTGTGAGCCACGGCGTAGCCGTGGCGGGTTCCACTTGTTAACAAAAAGCAAAAAAATATGCTGCAAGCAGTGCCTAACAGTTCTGGCCAAGGTCTAACCTGCAACAGCCCAACCCATTCCTAGTCTGCCCTAGCTATCTGTGATGCTATCGGTACTGCTCTTTTTGGTTTTCCCCGTAACTCACAACACTACAAGGCTATCAATGGTTACTATCAGTGCTGTTAGTTCAATCTTAATGTCTCGCAATGCTGGACACTGCTATTCACACGTCCCCAGGAACTCTCCATTAACCAATGCCACACACGAAATAGAATTCCCTTTAGCAAAATGATTGGGTGCGGCAAGAGGGTATCAATGCTCCTCCAATGTGCACCCCAACCAGAGTAGGTTATAATCAAGTGATGCCGGTCAATTAAAGATCTGGTATGAGTGCACTTACCATCATGGCAACAACCAGCATTGTCTCCCCACCTCTGGGCCAGTAACCATTTGTTAGTGATAGTATGGCATTCCAACCAGTGACATCAACATCTTTTGTGGTTTCATTCACCACAACGAATTTGTTATTATCAACTGCTGCTCCTAACACGTTATCATAATTGTCCCCTTCATGGAGATTGCAGGTCCCCTGAGGACTCATTTGTCTAGTATGAGGCAGGACCATCCCCCTGAATCTTTTTTTTGTTTTGTTTTTTACAGAAACAGGACCTTATGGCCCTGCCTCCGTCTGGGGAGCGTCAGTTCGGTTCCTATTCCACCGGCAAGTCAGTACATAACATGTGAACAAAACCAAACGAGCACAGAGGTATAGAGGGTAACAAACATAGCATTCTCGAGGGATTAGCTGACCGCCTTAAGCTGAACCCACAGTGGCACAGAGTGAAAAATGGTGACAATCAGGGTCGCATACCAGGCGACCACCGACCTTTCCACAGCCTACCGGTAGGGCCGACCTGTCAGTGGTCTGCTGACCAGTCACTAGACGATCATCCACTGATTTTGGGGTTGTACTGCTGAGAAACTCCAGTTTTGTGGAAGGGGTTGGAGGAGGGGGG